TTCCTAAGTCAGAGATGTGTTTCTGGTCAGTCTTCTGAGTCTTTGCTGAGGGTGATCTGCTGAGCAGTGATCACAGGACACCTGTGCTCCTTGACGAGTAGACACTGCGGCCCCCAGAGGGGCTGTTCAGAAAGTGACCGACCTCCGTCCAAATCATCAGATACAGCCAGTGCCGTAGGGCCAGGAGTTTTTTTCTTTTCTACAGAAAGGCCTCCCCTGTAGAAAAGACACATAAATTTGATTTTTGTTCAAACTGAATAAAAAGGATAATTATCATGTTTAAATACTGTAATGATTTTGTGGCCTGCTCAATCCAATATGCAGTATAGTCAGGGTTTGTTGAATATTTTGAGCTTCATCGCTCCAGCCTTTTTATTTCTTGCTGATATTACAATTAATAGAAATATATTAATACTGATGTAATGCATTATGATTTCAATAGTATGGCATTAGAGGCAATACCATCTTCTGTCTGAATGCGTTTTAACCTTTCCATCTGCATCAGCCTCTCTGCTCACCTCCTCCTGAAGGCACCTATCCATGGTGGAGTTGGGTTGGATTACTCAGGCCACAAACAAGCAAGTCTCACATCAAGGGTCTTTTCTCTAATTTGAAGAGTCTGTGCTTTCTTTTGTATTCAGTGATTGATGCTGTCTTATTCTTCCGTGGGCACTGCACCTTTGTTATGAGTAAAGTTTTGGAAATAATGCAAGTCCTTTAACTTTGACTCTCTCTCTTGTGGAAAAGGACCGAACTCTTATACAGGACCTATTGGAACAGCTGTCGGGGCCCATGATGTTCATCGAGACCCAAGAGACAGACTGCCGAGAAGGTATGTGCAGGTGGCTGGGTGAGGGGCCCTGGGCATGTTGTCTGCTGGCCAGAGGAGGGACTCTGGGTCAGGGGTCACCTTTTTCCTCCAGCGCCCGTCCCTTGCCATTTTTGAGGCTGGATTGAAACATTTGGAGACTCTGTTACTATCTCAGATGTATCTCACAGTACAAAGTTGAATGCACGTACAGGCTTCTTAAATCCATGCTGTTCATGGAGCTGTATTTCAGTGAACAGTGTCGTGCCAGCTCACTAGTCGGAACTTGAGAAGCAGTTGGACGTGCTGCCTTTGCCTCCATAGAAGAAGGCTGCAGGCCCGGGGCGGTGTCCCGCTGGGCCCCGCAGGGCCAGCCCTGATGGCACATGGAAAGCAAACAGACTTAGGACTCCACTGAGCGTTCTTGCCAAGGTTCTAGGTGAAAATGCTGTTACCCAAACAATTCTTATCGTTGAACTAACAAGAAGATCTTTAGTCTCTAACTTAACTTGTTAAGTTACAGATACTGATAGACTTCTCTCAGATATATTTAGGATTCATTAGAAGGCTGTATTTTAAAACTATACTCGTTAAACAACTACTTGGGATTTCCTGCTTGCTAAAATTGAAGCTACTAGCCTTTTGGGAGTTGGACATGACTGGAGAAAGTCAGTTAGTAGAACATTCTGCCTGGGTTTAAATACAGTCCCAATGATTCTAATTACAAGAAGCGTTATGGCAAAATTTAAGAGTGAGTCTCTCCCTTAACTGAAAGGCTACTTAGTTGTTCATTAAGTGAACCTACCCAATTGTTGACATATTATTTCTATTTTGACCAATAATCTTTTGCATTTTCCTCTAATGCAGCCAAGATGCAGATTTATCTGGAAGTCCTGGAGCCCCTGAAAACTTGACATTCAGAGAGCGCCAGCGTCTTTTTTCACAAGGTCAAGATGTGTCCAATAAAGTAAAAGCCTCTCGTAAATTAACAGAACTGGAAAATGAACTGAACACAAAATGAGAGAGGGCAGGGCACCCTGGCATCCCTGAGTCTCCCAGGTGGGTCTGTGGGCATGAGACAGGGAAGAAAGGGGTGGCTGTGTTTCCGAGTCGCTTGTAGTTTCGGTTTCTAAAATGGTCGAAATTTAGACATGTTCTAATTCCAGAAAGTTATATTTTATTTTACCAGGAGATTGTCATTTGTACAATGTGTAAACACTGTCAAGTTTCTTAATTATCTGACTCACAGGAAGGTAATGTTTTGGTGACCTGTTTTTGTAGTTTGAATGAAAGGGGACTGAGTGGAGGCAGAAGGTCATGAAGTCTTTCTTCTCCCTTTTCTTCCCCAAGGAGCACAAAGAGTCCTATTTCTGTTCTTTTTCAAATACTTTGTTTTAGCTGTCAAACAGAAAATAGCTTGAACTTCCCGGACTATTGTTTGCACTATTTAGGAGCAACCTCAGACTGTCCTACAAGAGAGCCAGGCTTCCTCCCCCAGGGGGCCTCGGGGCATGCTGCTTGCAGGTGTGGTCCCTGCTGGTGCCCACTGCCTCTGAGTCTGCCCTAAGGAGAAGTGGCCTGGACCCACGCTCCCCCGAGGGGAAGGTGCTGCGCATACAGTCCCATCTCCCAGGGGCAAGGCCTCCTGATCAATGCTCAATAGTTGATTTTAAAAGCCTCTCTGTGAAAAAAACATTTTGAGGGTTTAAGCTTAGGAAATTTTATTTTTATAAATACCAGATTATTGTCAGGCTAATAAATCATTGGTGATTTTGAAGGTGGCAGTTAAGTTAGAAAGTTAACTATTTCGTATATTCAAGAGAATCTGTAAAAGAGGATCTCTCTAGCTGAGCAGTGCTGATGTGAATAGGAACAAAATACTTGAGATGGGAGATTGTTAAGTGACACTCGAGCACAGTTGTTGCTCAGAAATTTTAAATGTCAAAAAGAAATAGATTCATGTGGCCATGCTGTCAGGGAAAGGATGGTCCAGTTACGTGCGGCATTTGTGACGTAAATATTGTAAGAGTAAATTGTGTGGCAGTTCAGGCTGTTTTTTTACTCTCATAGAGTTATTTAATTTTCATTTGTTGTTAGGACCACTGTCAGTTTTTCAGCTGTGAACGTGTGGCTGATGTTGGGGAGACGAATCTTACTTTGTTTTAAATTGTGTGATGTTTAAAATGGTAAATTAAGTTGTGATTACGAGCAAATTTTATATTTGACAAAGCCCTGATACGGGGCCTAGATGAATTTTCTGTACCATATTGTTCTCTTAAAAATATGTATGTCAGGAAAATGTGCACACTTTCAAATAGAAGAGGGCAGGGCTTTCCAGCCTTACAAACCACTGTAGTAAGAGTTGTATGATAAATCATCACAATAGCAGTGTAAATATTTTTTATGTCTATCAGGGTTCTTATTTGGAAGTGTGCTTTTACCATATCCCTTGTTTAAGTAAGAGAGTAAAATGGTTCTAAGTGTTTATGAAGGATCTGTGTGCTCGTTCCAGAAGTTCTGGGAAAAGCAGGCTCCTCCCAAATATCTTGAGAACACTGGCAGCCTTACAGGGACTAAATCCACACTTTCTTTAAAGAAAAAGATGCAGATAAACTATTCTGCATCTGTTATTCTGTTATTATATAGAAAACAAATACACATACATACATGCAAATATATGTAAATACCATGCAGGATATTTGTTATGTGTGGATGTAAAATGAACAAGTGGATTTGGCCATCCTCAGACACCTAGGTCGAGTGTGAATATGTGTGAAAATGCTTTTCATAACTGTGCATTACTGTGGGCAAAAACATTAAACTGCTGTAGTTTTCCATTTCTACTGTATTTTGTTCACAACCTATTTTTAATAAACTTTATATGTATTTAAGTATATTTGCTCTTATTTCAACAGTGCTGACAGAGGTTTTGTTTGTCAGCCTTCCCTCCCTGTCCCTTTCCACCTACCTGCTCAGTCATTAAACATTTACCGAGATATTCCCATGTTAGGGAGTTCATGGCTTGTGGGGAATGTCCCTTGTCCCACACCCAGGCTGCTTTTACAGAAGATGGGGGTCACTGGCAAGACCTGCCTCAGCCTCAGGAACACCCAGCAGTCAGTGAACTGAACAGGATGTGCTGGTGAGACCTGTCGGAGAGCACGGGCCCTGCGGCAGCTCAGGGAGGGGCGTGTTGGTTACAGCAGCGCAGGGGCCCAGGGTGCGGAAGTCCTGGCCCAGAAGCCACCATGAAGCCTGTGCCCAGGAGGGCTGGGCAGCTGCACAAGGACTTCACCAGGGAGGGGGTGTTAGAGCTACAGATCTTTATGGTGGTGCTACAGGAAACCAGAAAACCTGGGCTGGATGGCTGACGGGAGAACCAAGCAACATTCAGAGGTCTTGGAGGGTGGTGGTTTATTTTACACTGCAGGCTCAGAGAAGAGTGATCTCCAAAGATCGGAGCCCCGAGTACAGCAGAGCCACACCTTCTTATACACTGATTACAAAGCTAAGAGGGGGTCAGCCCCATCCAGCCCCACCCCACCTCACACTCCACATGCTGTGTTGCTGGGCGGCCCAAAGCAAGCCCCACCCATGCCCAGCGCTCATGTCATGCCCCACCCCATGCCTGCGTAGTTGTGAGTGCCAGCCGGTAGGCTGCAGAGCAATGCAGCTCAGCAGGCATTGGCAGGACTTGTGGGAGCTGGGTGGTTGTGTCTTCAGTTGAAGGTGTAAGACCCGGGACAGGCGGCAGACAAGCTGGGGTCGGGTCTACAGGGCATGGCCACATGTCTGCCCCACTCTCGTGGAGTGCATGACCTGTTCTGTAGAGCAGGCCCAGCCTGGCCTCACCCCAGGCCCACCTGGGACTGTCCCACCATGTAGTGATTGCCTGCTCCTCGCTGAGCTAAAGGTTGGATTAGGCACAGAACTGTCCTGCCACCCCTCTTGGGGGCCGGGCCCTGCAGTTGGGGGACAGGAGCAGTCACAGAATGAACCAGTTATCCCCTATGGGAGAGGCTGTGGCGATGATGCCCTGGAGCCGGACCAGCTGCAGGAGGCAACAGCGAGGGAAGCCAAGGGGCCAAGTCAGCCCACCAGGGACAGGCAGGTGGTCAGGACATTTTTTATCTTGAGGGCAAGGTGGGCACTATTGAGATTTTTTAAGAAGAGAGGGAAGATATGAATAGATCCATATTTTGAAATTTATAGTAAGTAGGGGTACAGGGTGGGCCTGAACTGCAGGGCCGAATTAGGAGCCTGTAGCAGGTCAGGACTTAGGACCTTGGTGGACCTGCTCCCATGCAAAACAGGAAGATCTGGTGGAAATGATGGAAAAAACAAGGCCTCTGGAAATTGTCCTAAGGGCATGCATACATCAAATGAAGAAATAATCTGAGAAATCCACTCAACCTTACCTCTGAGAGCAGGGCCCACAGGAGGTCTGCCCTGGCAGGTGTGACTAAAAGGGTGGGGCTTCCTGTCATCTCAGCTCCTTACTGAGGGTCACCGTGTCTCAGCAGGAGGGACCGAACACCAGCACAAGGCTAGAGACTGGATTCGCGATGAGTGGTTTCCCTGCCTCGCACAGCCTTCACACATAGGCTGGAAGTTGCACCCCAAGACAGGTGAGAATACTGGGGTTCCAGCTGGTCTTACCCAGCTCATCAGCACAGAGGTTCCATAGTGAGAGCAGGTCAGAAGACCAGGGCATGGATTGTTCTGGAGATTCAGCCCAGGGGCAGAGGCAGCCCACGAGAAGAGAGCTTGGATGCTTCCCACAGAGGAACTGACTTAATTTGAAATAAAGAAACAGTAGCTCTTGTTAAGCAGTGTTAGTCTGCTCAAGGGCCAGAAAAAAGTACCACAGACCAGGTGTATGAACCGCAGAACTTCTCTGTGTGGTCTGGAGGCTGGAGGTCCGAGGCCAGAAGGTCAGCATTGCATGCTTCTGTGGCCTCTGCCAGACTCGCACAAAGCTCCTGTGCTCACCGGGTCTGTCCCGTGTGTGTCCATCCCTAGTGTCTCTCAGTGTCGTGACCTCTGAGAAGGACCCGGTCAGACTGGACCGGGGCCCACCCTAATGGCCTCATTTTACCTTAACCATCTCTTTGAAAGCCCCATCTCCAAATACAGTCACATGATGAGGTACAGGGGTTAGGGCTTAACTTGTGAATTAGTGGGGGACACGGCCCATTATGAGGAGCAAGCTGAACCACAGGCCCCCGAGTTCACCTGGGGGAACCTGGGAGGCAGCTGAGAAGAGCCTCCCTGGGGTCAGAGCAGATCTCAGAGACTGGCCTCCGGGAGTACCCCTGCCATGGTTTAATTGGACCAGACATTGGGGAAATTAATGCCGCTGGCACTGTGGTAACAGCAGAGCCCGCAGCCAGCACTGAGTGGGGCTTTGCAGGTGGCTGTGGCCCCAGAGGAGACAGACAGCCTAAGGGAGGGTCGGGGAGGGCTGTGCAAACCGCCTTCCGTGGGCCTGTGTCCCTACGCACCAAGGCCACGTCCTAGGGGCTGCAACAAAGGCTGCATGTGGCTGGGGTGGGCAACAACCTCCCCTGCAAGAGCCTATCAAGGCCACCAGCAGAGCAGGCAAACAGCAAAAAAAAAAAAAACACTGCAGAGGGGGAAGGGGAGTCAGTATCCAAAATTTCTAGGTATGTCACCTGAAATGGCTAGTTGAAAGGAAAGGAGCGACACATAGCAGCAATTCACCGGAGAGTTCCGCTTTATTAGGGAAAGGTGCTGGGTTATATAGGAAGGGGCATGAATTGATTGAGGTGTCACTTCGACGGGGCTGTTGGCTGTTGGCTAGGTGCTGGGATTGGGAGGGGGGCGAGAGGTGATTGGGCTTCAGGTGGCGCCGGCAGGAACTGAGGACCCCGAAGAGAAGCCGGAAGTTTGCCATCTTACTGGTGGGGACCCTTCACTAGTTCTCAAAAAAAAAATTATAAGACCTGGAAGAAACAGGAAAATGAGATTTCCACAGGGGAACATAGAACAGAAACTGCCCACAACGGGGCCCAGACGCTGGATTTAACATGCAGATACATAAAAGCAGCCATTATAATAAACATGTTCCAAGAGCTAAAGGAAACTGCACTTTTGAAGTGAAGGAAAAGGTGACATCATCTCTCATCTATCAGAAAATAATCTGTGAACAAATAGAAATTATTTTTAATAAATGATAGTCTTGGAGTTTGAAATAACTGAAAATATTCCCCAGAGGAGCTCAAGAGTTGACTTGAATGGACAAAAAAAGAATCAGCAAGCTTTTAGAATGGTAGAAATTATGCAGTCCTAAGAACAGAGAAAAATAGAAGAAAAATAAACGGAACCTCAGAAAAAGGTGTGAAACCTTGCTGTGCACCAATATATGCATAATGGGAGAACCAGAGGGAGAGGTGGGAGAAAGCAGAGAATACATTCAAAGAAGTAGTGCTCAAACTCTCCAAATATTTACACAGAAAGGCAGCCTCGTGAATTCCAAGTTGGATAAATACTGAGGTCCATGGCACACACATCATAAGAACAATACTGCAGGTGGAAGCAGGAATAGGAAAATGACTGGCCCCGCCCCACCCAGACGACTGTCAGCTGACTTAGCGGCAGTGGAGGTGGGGCAATGCAGTGACATATTCCAGGTGCCGAGAGGAAATACCTACTAGCCAAGAATCTTAAATCCAGCAGAACTTTCAAAAGTGAAGACAAAGTAAAAGCATCCCCAGATAAACAAAATCTGAGAAACTGTAGTGCTAACAGGCCTAAACCTTACATAAACACAAAAGAAGTTCCTCAGGCTGAAAGCAAGTGACCCCACCTGGAAATGCACGTTCTCAAAGAACGCCAGTAGAGACAGTCATGTAGTAATAGAAGACAGTGTACCTGTAGATTTTTCTCCTTAACTGGTTTAAAAAGCAATTGTATAGCTGGTATGGGTATAATTGTATTGTTGGAACTCTTAACATACAGGAATGTAATTATTATTTGAATGAAAATGGCACCAAGCAAGTGGATGGAAGCAAAGTTCTATCAGAATAGAGAAATGACACCACACAGTGGCCTGAATCCACAGAAGCGAAGGAAGAGAGGCAGAGATGGTGGATAAGAAGGTGAAAGGGGCAAACCCTATAAATGCACACCTGCCGGCCTTGCTTCTCTTTCTTCAACGAACGTGGCATCATGTAGAGTGATAATCAGTGAAGTGCATTGTTTCATTTGTAACATGCACAACAGTAAAACACAAGGCGAAAGAAGAATATAGGTAAATAGGGATAATATTTCTGTGCTTCATGGGAATTGTTACCAGAAACGGGAAGTAGATTTGTCCATGTTCAGATGGAGAGGGTACGCCCTAGACAACCACTGAGGAAATAATAAAAAATAATGAGAAAGATCATCAAAGGGATTAAAATATTACACTAGAAAATATCCACTTAATGCAAAGGAAACAGAGGAACAAAAGACGGAACACCTGGGAAACCAAAGCGTCAGGTGCGATTCCATGTCAGTAATGGTGAACGCAGTGATGCGGGCAAAGGAAAGGTATAAAGGTATTGTCAGACTGGTTAGAAACCAAGACCCAGCTGTGTGCTGTCCACAGGAGACATGTTTTAGATTCAAAGATACAAACAGGTTAAAGAAAAAGAATGGGAAAGTTGTATCATGCCACCATCAAGAGGGGTGGGCGCTTGAGGACGGGGGCGGGGAGATAGTGGGAGGTGCTGACCCTCAGGGCTGGGGTGTCATGGCCGCAGCCGAGGATGTCAGGATGGCAGGCGCTGGGGACGAAGCTCTCAAGATCTAGAGGATCACATCCAAGAAGACACGTGGTGGGTTCTGAGTTCTCGGTCTTAATGGCGTCTCCTGTTCTGTAGTTTAATAGAAGAAGGAGAATGAATGATGTTGCAAGTTAAGAAAAATCTTACCCCTCATTAAATATTTTGACAGAGTTCATTTCTTTAATTATCATGTTGCTTTCCAGCTTTTAAGATACTGAGTAGAATTAAATCCCGTGTTTCCTGATGCACCACAGCCATGAGCCCAAGTAAATGGAATGGTTACCAGGCCAGCTTCCTTGCTGTCCCCAGAGGAGAAAGTCATGCCTGCATCTCACAGAGCACCAGCCCCGCCTGAGGCGAGCGGAGTGCCCGCCAGGCATGGAGGGCCCTGCCCTCCGTCCAACCCACTGAAAGCTGTCTGTTTTGGGATGAATAATTAGCAAAGAAGATTCAAGTGCCAAGAATATTGTGTTCAGAAACAGAGAAAGATCTTAAAAGTTTAAGCAAAGAAAGGTGTCAGATTAATTACCCAAGAAGGCCAAGCTGAAGTTTCTGTCCATTGGGTGTTTCAGTCGGGTTGGATTCTGCCCGATATAGTAGAACAGCTAGGGGGCAGGCGGACTCATCTCGTGCAGCAGGACACCTGTCAGGGGGCTGCCCAGGGCTGCGCGTGGGGGGGGGGGCATCACATGGCCTGGCCTCCCCTCTCCTTCCTGATAAGCCCTGAGGGACCCTGCGCCTGGAGCGGGCCTGGAGCTGTCCCTCCCTGCCTGGCAGGTCCCAGCCCCCAGGCTGCAGGATGCTCACTGCTGCCTCTTTCCTATTCTTCGTTTCATCAGCATCTTTGGTCTTTGGCTCACTCTGCTCTCCCCCGCACAGCCTCTGATGCCTTCTTGTCACTCGCCCCCAGGCGCAGGTTTCCTGTTCTGTGATTTGCATCCCGCCGCATGGGCCCCCAGAACCCCTCCACCTGCCTGTGGCCTCTCCCGGCCACCCCCATGCTGTTGGCCTGCCCCAGACCTGCTGGAAAATGCCACATGATGGAGAATACCACGCACACGCCGACCTGCATCCCCACGGGCAGATGGGGTGCCGTGCCATCTGCGGAGACACCCTAGGTCCCCCCCACACCTCTGAGTCTCAGCTCTCCCAGCCCTGCCCAGTGTCCTCTCAGACCTTGGCAAGCTGCCTCCCTGTGCTACCACCTGGGACTTCTGTCCCCTCCCAGGGCAGGGGCATGGCTGTGCCACCCCAACCCCACCCATCACCAGCAGAGTGTGTCTCGGGGATCTGGACTCCCAGCCACCCTGCCTTGGGAGCCTGGACTGTTTCCAGCTGCAGGCCTGGGTCAGTGAACGGCATGTCCGGCTGACCTAACACCCACTGGGTGCTGCCTCCAGGCCTGTCCCTCCGGCCCCGCCCTTTCCCGGGCTGAGGGCCAGCACACGTCCCCTCTCCTGCACATGCCTCCGGTGTCAGAATGCGTGCGGCGGATCATGATGCCTGTGGTGAGACGCTGATGTGCTGGCCCCACCTCCGCTGTCCGGGGATGCACGGTGAGGCTCTGAGGGCAAGCGGCCAGCATTGGCCGCTTGTAGGAGGGCAGCATGGGGCACCAGCTCCTGAAGAAGCACCATCCTGCTTTGGAAGCAAAGCAGAAATCCTGAGTTCCTGGCAGCCCCACTGCCTGCTCTGGCTGGAAGCCCGGAAATTCTGCCGGCTCCGTCTGCTGGCCTGCTGGGTGTCTGCTCAGTATCTGGACTCGCCTACTCTGTACCCCCTGTGACAGTCTCAGTCCAGACCAGCATGGACTTGCTGGCCGGTTTGCACCCTGCACCCCGTCTTTCTCCACAGAGCACCCGGGGTGACCTTTGTAAGCCTGCATCTGTTCTAACTTCCTGCTCTGGAAGGGCTCCTCCAGCTCAGCATTGTCCTGGAGAAAACACTTGGCTTGGGGCCCTTGACAAGTCTGCCCTTGACAATGTCCCTGGCCCCTTGCACGTGCCCCTCACTGCTCTCTGCCCTGACCCCCTGGGCCCTACAAACCTGCTCCCTCCCATGCAGCCCCCTACCCTCCCCACTCTGGCACCTGCTGCAGCCAGTCAGCACCCACATCCTCGGGGCTCTGCTGTGTGAGTAGCCCACATTGGGCCACGTCCTCTCCACAATCAGGCCCAGACCACAGTGAGCGGCCCTCAGGAAATGCATCTGCTGCATTTCAGACTCTAGATCATTCCTGTTATTTTCTGTACAATACCGAGGAGTGGCTGGAAATGGCGGCAGTGGGGCTGCAGAGCCCTGCACCCTGGGCAGCGAGCATGTGCCCCTTGGTCCAGCTCCGCTGCAGTCCTCAGTGCACAGTGTCGCCTCGAGGCAGTTATTTATTTCCACAGTGAATGTTAACGTCAATAAGTCGTAGTGTTTATTTTCTGGTGCAATTGTATTAGTCCAAATAGATCTTAGGCTTTTGTGGAATTAAAACCCTCGAATTAAGGAGGCGTAGCTCCTTGCTGCACCAGAGGAGGTTCCCCTACAACACCCACTTGCTCTCATCCCTTAGACCTTAAAACCATCACTATTTTCATAATCACATGCAGGTGGCATTCACTGTGGGGGTTCTGCTTTCTATACTAAGTAGAACTAAACCTCAAAAAAGCACCTGATTGGGATTCTGAGCAACAGTAGGAAGAAACACACATTTTAGCCATGAGATGTGCAGTTTCAAATAGCCATGGTAGTGCTCTTTTTTACCTAGTAGTCTTAAGTTTATAAATCCAAGCTGTCATTTTTATTTTAATGTCAAATGGTAGAAAAGTCTTTTACACATGTCTGGTTAAGTAGAGCTAATACAGCCTGTCATCTAAACAGCTCTTAAGTGCTTTCAGTTCTAGAAGGAAAGTCAGAGATGTTATTCTGTGTGGTCCCTTTGGCAGTTCTCCAAGATGAAGATGGAATGGTGTATTTTTATACCTTTGATTAAGAGCATTGTTCACCTTTTGTTATAAACAATGTGACCAGGGTAAAAATTAGAAGGGAAAAAAGGTTATTACCACACAATAAAACACCATCTGTAAACAGGATTAGTCTGTCCTTAGAGGCAGGTGTTTTTCCCATGAACTGCTTTTAGTATATTTAAAATGGATTTATATAGAATTAATTCTTTGTCCTTTTTCAACTGAGCAAAATTGATCTTTCAATAAAGTATATAACTTTATCTGCATTCTGTATAATAAAGATATTGTCATTCAATTTGGTTTTGATATTTTATCAAAAAGTTTCCCAAACATATGGCAGTAATCTTCATGTCATAAAAACAAAAGGCATCTATTAAACCAGCTATGATGTCACAATCTAGGTATTTGGTATTAAACAGCAAACAGGGCAACCAGTTCTCTCACTCTGGACCCATCACACGCCTTCATCCAAAAAGCCTTCAAACGATTTCAGAAGGAAGAGTCTAATACGTATAGGATGCTGTTTATCAGCTGCATTGTTCCCAGAGTTCTCTAAAAATTTGAGTATGTGTTGTTGACTGTGATTCTGCATTTACGTGGTCAGTAGATTTCCCCGGGCAGCACTGTCTGCACCACGTGTTCATGGTAATGAGGCTTCCAGAAGGTGGGTCTGCAGATCAGAGCTCTGTTCCCACATACCGAGTGTACCATGGAGACCCTGCCAGTGCCACAGGGAGTAAGCAGCATAAGGCAGGTGTCCCACGTCGGACTTCTCTGCACCGTGCAGTGAGTTTCACTTGTGGAGGTAGGTGACATACCTGACTTTCATGGCTGCTTAAAGCATAAGAACACACCCAGGCCCATATGCTCCTTGGTGGTCACAGTGCTAAGCCCAAACCTAGGGGGCTGGGATGTCTGGAGAGCCCGGCTGTGGCTCCGTTAGCCTTCTGCAGGCAGTGAGCACGCATCTTGATCAAGAACGTGGCTTAGAATCGATGTAACTAAACACCCTGTAATTATGCTGTGTGGCTAACCGTCAGTGTGTGAGCTGTGTGCCTCTGTTCCCGAAACTGACACAAGACGAGCCAGGGCTGAGCGCTCCTCCCGGGAACCTCCCCGAAGCCACCAGGACCAGCATCAGGACTGTGTCTGCGCCCTGGCACTGCGGCTGGGAAAGCGTGGCTGCCCCCCGCGGCTCTGCTCTGTAAGACCAGGGACCCCCGGGGCCCTGTGCCTGCATGCCCCATCCTGGTGCTCCTGCATGAATGTGGCAGTGGGATGTCATGTCCTCACTTGGCAGCAAGTGGTGTGGTGGCCCACGGTGGCCCTAAGACTTGGTAGACCCAGAAGTGAAACCCAGGGGTCTCCCTGCAAGCCCCAGGCCCCTCTCACACCACGGTCTCCTGCAGAACCTCTGGTACTCAGGTACCAGGCCTGGCTGCCGTGTGAATGACTTGACAGTGTCCACGGGGCTGCAGACAGTCATGGCCCCAGGACTACTGAATGACCTCTGAGTGACTAGCTGGTGGGTGGGCCGGCGGCACACCACGGCCTCACGGCAAGCCCGGCCAGCCTCCCTGCTTGAAGCCCTGGGCTTAGAGGAGCTCATCGGGGCCATGCGGTGCAGTCCTCCTGCGCAGCCCCGTCTCACGGGACAACCCGTTCTTTCAGCGTGGCAGTCAAAGGCAGGTGGCCTCAAGCAGTGCCTATGGGAGCTGAGTGAGTGGCACCAGCCAGAGAGGCAGATGAGAGGGTGGCTTCACCTTGGTCTGGTGGGAGGTGGCTGCTGTCTGGAGTCTGAGGTGGCCAGGTGAGCCTTCCTGGGAGGGAACCAGGTCTGGTGTGGAACGGTGGACAGTGTTACATGAAGGTTGGGCTCCCGGAAACACGCCGATGGGACAGCTGATCTCCGCCTACTTGGGATCCCAGCCCAAAGGAGCCATGAGCGCCTGAGATGCATCAGCATCACTCATCTACCCCGTGTCAGAAAGCAGGAGCTGGATCTCACAGCCACTTGCATGAACTTGCTGCAAATTGAGGACAGTGTTTAGAATGATCACTTAACACTGTTTCTGAACACTGGGAGGAGTTGCCGCTTGCCCGGTGGAGCCTGCGGTTTACAGAGTAAAGATACTCCCATGTCCTCTCCAGGTACTGAGTCTGATGGACATCGAGTCTCTGGTCATGATACAGGCATTTGACAAAAACACTACATGAAGTATTTCCAGACAGTGTGTCGGTGAGAAGCCGGACACCAGCGTCCTAGGCCAAGTGCCGCTCGTTCGGCGCACCCATGGGGAGGCAGGTGCAGAGGCAGGGAGCCTCCCTCTCCTGGGGCAGTGATCCCAGCAGGAGGAAACCCCAAGGAGGTCTCTAGGGGCACCTGGGTTCCACCCCAACGCCTCAGATCCAAGGCTCCTGAGCACCTGACGGAGACAAGGAAACAGGGTCACTGTATCTGATACCCGTTGGAAAGGGGTGGATACCAACTATATTGCATGGCAAAGAGTCCCCCACAATAGTTCAGCAGGCTAGAGCGATAGGCCCAACCTGACCTGGATACAAACGCCAGGCTCACAGGGACAGGGTGAGGGAGTTCGACTTGCCAGCTGGTCCTTGGGGAGGGCTGCAGGGCTCAGGGCCACCGGCAGCAGTGTGGTGCTCAGGAGCCGAAGAGCTGAGGTCAGTCTTCGGGTAGAAGCAGCATGTTGGAATTAGCACCATCCTCAGCAGTGCCGTTGGCTAATGACTAGGGGCCTCCGGCCAACGTGCTGCAGAAGCTGGGACTGCTGGCCCAGGCCCCTGCCCCAGGCCTCTGACAGTGTCTGGCTCTGCCTGCCTCCCTCGCTGTGCCGCTGCCCAGGAGCAAACCGAGTGCAGGTGGCCAAGCCCTTCTGCGGGGATGCCTCTTCACAGGCAGAGCTCGCAGGCCACCTGGCATCACTCTTCCCGCTGCTTCCTCCCCTTGCCCCTGCCTGGCGCCACCCTCTCCCGATCATGCATCTCAAGATTCAGTGAGGCCTTCCCTTCTTCAGCCAAGTCTTCTCCCACGAAACTCTGCATTCTGCTGGGAGGGTGGTGAAGGCCTCTGGAAATTTGCATCCATGCTAATGTTTCTCAGCTTTTCCAAGGATGTTTCCATAGACTGAAGGGCTGGGGCAGCAGACAGCTCCTTAGGGCAGATCCAGAAATCTCCGGGCACCAGTGAGGAGGGTGGGGTCTGGCTTGTAATCGCAAGCACGGTGCAGGTCGCTGGCATCCGCGGCTGTGACGTGCACATGTGGTTGGTTGACCCGGCTGCCGTGGCGGGAGAGTATCAGCACAGCAGGGAGGTGGGGGGCCTCACCCTGCCCTGTGCTGTTACCCACACCCAGAGATGTCCTCCGCATCTGACTCAACATGTCAGGGAGATAAACAGACGAGGTCGGTTCCGGCTATTTCAGAGCCGCGGTGCACACAGCCCTGAGCAGTGAGGGCTGGGGGCCAGGAGGGTTTCTGGAGGATGCGCTGGAGGGTCAAGCTGCTGTCCTGGGGAAGAGGAACTGAGCCCCAGAGCCATCCGAGGACCAGTGGGTTAGACGTCAGCACAGTCCCAGAACCACGTAGTGCGGAGTCCCAGTTCGCCGTTGCCGCCAGAGGCGTCCGAGCGCAGCCTGGCCAAGCCTGACCTGCCAGCCCTGACGTGTGGCGTGACGCCGCATACATCCCGGCCTGTCCGTCCCCCTGTGTGGGAAGCTGTGTGTCTGTCGTCCCATGTGCAGCTCAGCTGGTTCTTACTGTCTGCCTTCATCTCCACAGGATCACGGGAGGCCACTGTTTAGGAAGGTACCAAATTTCAAACACTTCTTCTCAAATGCCTAAAAGAGCCCGGGTTGCCATTAAAATGTGTTTTCTTGACACTTATTAGCAAATTATAATCATTTGCCTGTTGCAGGAACCGTGGGAACCACAAACAAGGAGTCGGGACATGGAGATGTTTGGCGAGAGGTAGCATTTATTAGCGCTGGCTCCAGCCCAGTGGATTCCTACCCACAGGCTGAGCCCCAAGTGCAGCAGGGCCATGCCCTTTATACACTCACTACAAGGTTAGGGGGGTCAGCACCCAGGAACCGTCGCAGGGGGCACTATTAGGTCACATAGGTGTATTCAGGATGCTAGTTACATTTTAATCTACCGGAGACCCTATTATAAACTAAAGGGCCTCCATGACTATGATCAACCAGCTGTCCCACACCACAGAGTCCCGTGGGGGGGAAGACACTGTTACATTGTTTCAATCCCAAGCACCCAGGCACCTTGTGATTCCTCTGCATTCCTGAAGCCTTAACAGAAACTTTGTCTCCTTGGCTTCCTACCACATGCCAAGCATGCAAATTTATGTATTTTAAAAAGCTTAAAGTAACACTGACCACTCACTGCTCCATAGGGATTTTCCAAACGTCAGGGTGAGGGTAGGAAATTGTAATGCTTACCCTGGGGCAAATGTTGCCAGTATTCTCTTCAGGAACAGCTCCTCTGCTCTGTGTTGCTTGTGCTTAAGGTAAAACTCCCCTTATTGTTGTAGGAGCCGAGGGGGGCATCAGAGCTCACTGTCCAATCCGGCCCTTACTGCCAAACAGGTACTTTGTTTTTGGTGTTTGTGTGTGTGTGTGTGTGAGCATTCTAGGGAAAAATAAATACAGGAGTGGCAGTGATTTCCCGCGCTTCTGCTCTCCTTCCCTGGTCCCCAAGCAGGGCGTTCTCCTGCCCTGGGGGAGGGCTGTCTCCCGGGTGGGGCCGCCTGGCTGGGAGCCGTCGGGAGTGCAGCGCCCATACCTGAGCAGTGAGGAATGTGTGGCCCGGTCGGCTGCCGGCAGCGTCAGGCTTCCTCCGGCCACCTCCGCCCCTCTGCATCGGGGGGCCTTCCTCCCTCACCTGCTGGCAGCCCCCGGGAGCAGCCGAGTAACCAGCATTGACTCAGTGGGTAATTATGACTTAGAGAACGTCTAACACAATTCGTCTCTCCAGTGGTGGTCGGAGTTTTCCTGTGACTCTCCCGTTGCGGCTTAGTGCCCAGTGCACCTTGGTGGCGGGGCCGTTGGCTCTCGGAGCACCTGCGGGTGCATCTGGAACGACGCGCTCTGGCAGTGGCCTCCGAGAGCGCAGCGTGTCCGCGGACGCGCTTTCCGACGGCGCCTGCCGATTGCGGCGGGAGGGCGCTGTTTACCCGCCGTGCGGCCCGGGCGGGCGGCCCCCTGCCACGCGGGGCTGCGTGACTCCGGTGAACGGAGGGAGGACGCGGGGAGCGTGGGACAGTGTGCCCGTCGCCGACGCGCGGCCGGGTCAATCCTCACCGCTCCGCCGGGCCGCTTCGGGCTGTTGGGCTCCTCCGGCGCCCGCGAGAGGCCCCCCGCTTCGGTTCAGGCTCTCGTGACGTCGGTGTTCACTTGGCTTTTGTCTTGAAACGCGTTGCGTTTTCCTGGGGCCGTGATCGCCTGCAAACACCCGGGCCCGGAAGCACAGACTTCGGGGCGACGTCTCCCCGGCCCCGGCCACCCCAAGATTCCAGTGCAGCGCGTCCGTGTGGGTGGTGCTTACGTCACTCCCCGCAGACGGGCCGCAAAAAGGCGTCTCAAGTTTTAGGCAAAGCGTTTCAGGGGAAAGCGAAAGGGATGGTGGGCCGGAGGCGGAGGGCGCGGGGGGCGGGAAGCACCCGAGGGGGGACCAGAGAGTGAAGAAGAGACGGCGCAGCAGACCCCGGAGACGGAGGGTCGGCGGGCGTCCGTTCTCCGCCGCTTCCCCGCGGGGCTGCCTCGGGATCCGGGGCTGCGGGGCTCCGGCCGAGCTTCCTTCCGCCGGGCCCAGGCCCCAGATCGGCACCGAGAGGCGGACCTTGCGGCACAGGAAATACAAATGTGAAACTAATGAAGCGAAGTCGACTTCACGTTACATTTGAAGCAGATCCACTCTAAACTCATGATTTTGTTTTCTCTTTAAAACCTGAATGTTACTTGGCTTTATCTACGGAAAAGGCAGTGAGACCCGGGGGGCGGGGGCCAGAAACTGGCTCCGGAAGCGCTGGCGGGTCCGAGGAGGCCCCGGCAGTGGCTGGGAGCACCGGAGGCCGCGGGGTCGCGCCCACAGACCACAGGCCACCTACAGGGGCGCCCGCGGAGGGCGGGGCTTGAGGCGGGCGCTGAGCCGGACCCGCCAGGACCCCAGAACCCTTCATGACCACAGAACCCTTCATGACCACCATGACTTCAGGGCTTACTGGTGGCCTTTGCTGAGTGCAAGAGCGTCAACCCACTACTCTAAAAAATCATCAAGAGAAGGAATTAAGCGTTTGTGACACTTTCTGTATGGAATGCATTGTAGGGTGAATGAATAGTTGGTGAAGGCAATGTTTCATTATAAAAGATTGTGGCTAATAAATTCAGAGCAAGTGATAAAATCAGAAAATCACCTTTTGAAACCCTGATGCCTCTAGGTAGTGGTCCTCAGGGGGTGCTAGGCCTTTAGGGTTGACAGGCTCTTGCTTATAGAAGGTTCAGGAAGCCCTCTGGATCCCTAAACTCACATAATTTTCACTGAACGCAAGGCACTCAGACATTAGGACACAGAGATGGGTTGCAGCGGGTCAGGCACAGCCCCACCGATGACGACACGTTCCTCCAGAACTGAGCCTCATCTCATTAAGTCTCAGGGTTGTTATCTTACAGGAGAAAGAGCAGTCAGCTAGCTGAGAATGTGGGACGTTTCCCCGGGTAAAGATACGGTTTCCTTTACAAATCAGTAGCACCAGTAGCAGGATACTCGGGGACAGAGGACAGGAGAGGCTTCCAAAGGCAGCCACAGGCCCTCATTTTGACTGTGACTTGAGCAAGCCAACTGCCAGGACATTTGGGGGAAACCAGAGAAGTTAGGATATGTACCAGGTGATATTAACGTTACAAAGTGAGATTGATAATGGCATGGTGGTAATGTTAAAAAATGTCCTATCAGTTAAATGTGTGGACTGAAGTCAGGTGATACGTTGTCTGATATTTGATTTAAAATGTGCTGGAGAAATGGGAGGGGAGTGGTCAGGAGTGCATATAAGCAAGATGGCCAAAGATTACAAATGTGGAAGGAGGGCTCGTTTTTACTATTTCTTCCATTTCTGTGTGTTTAGAAGTCTCCACAGATTAAAAGTTAAAATGTGTTGGGCTCATGCGTCATCTTATGATGATGATGACAAAATGAGTCTGGGAGGCATAAGTGTAGTTGACGTTGGTCATTCTGAATTTCACACAGCATCCCAGACCGGCTGGGTCGCTGTGACCATGTAGGAGAAGCTCTCCTGGTGTGAGATCTTCACGCCTCTCCCACACAGGCCTGGCATCGTGCTTCACTGCAAGGCCTTTAGTAGCTCTTTTTAAAGTAGTTTCAGTTAATGGATTGAGCAGTTTGTATTTTACAAAGAAATCAAGACAATTGTTGGAGCTGGATTTAAAAATTCCTTTGACAGAGTCTCTGGAAAAGAACAGTCCCTTGTTAAGTATTTTTTCTTCTGTCACCCGATGCACTGTGTGTTGTCTTAAGCACCAGTATTACTGAGTCAAGTGAAGGGAGATAGGTAAATCCTGCTTGTTGGGGATTTGAGTTAAAAGGAGCCTTGTGACCATCGTGTTGAGTCCCTCCTTTTATAGGAGGTTCCGCATTGGCCACGGCCCGGGGCACACGGGCCCCTCCCAGGAAGTCTCAAGTTCCTGGCATCCGCCCCCAACCCCACAGGTGGGCTCTTTACCTGTAGCTGCCCTTCATCCCCATGGTCGCCTGTACACCTCCGTCCCCAGCCCCGTACAAATTCCTGTACATCTTCAGAGGCAGAAGTTTGAGCATTGTAAAAATATTTTACTCCTCAAGATAGGATAAAATTTCTTTTGACTGGGACATTTTGGATTTTGTTTAAAAAAATCAATAGAATCCAAGTTGCTTTTCATTTAATGGGCCTCTCTGTTAAAGGAATTCATATCGTTGAATCTGCTAAAAAAGCAAGCCTCAGCGCGGGGCGTCGCGACTCCTGGCGCCCACACTGTTTTTATTTCCAGAGGTCGAGAGAGTTTGAGTTCATATGAAATGTGGGATGCAGCATCTCTTTCAATTTGCTATCTAATTCAATGTTTAATAGTTTTGGAGTCCTCCTATAAATAAAATCAGTCACAGATGGAGAAATCTGGCTATGGCCCCAGCTCTCGGTGGCTGTCTTAAGGGTTGTTTATTTGCACTTTTCATTTAATTTACGTGTGTTTGTCTGACAATCACAGACTGAAGGCCGGACTGTCTGGTCATGCCTGGCTCTGCCGTACACGCATCCTGATCGAACCAGTTTCACAGCTACTGACCGGAGTTTCCTAATGTAGTAACAAAGCCTGTGGCTCAAGTAATTCTTATGCAAATATATGCAGTTTGGGGCAAAAATATTTTTGTAGCGGTGTTGACAAAATCAGAGGATTTGGCAACTCTCTGAGCAGCAGGACTGAAGTCTCTGTTGAATGTCACCATGGTGGGTGGACCGAAGCACTCGGCCAACACGCACCAAGGTAGTGTCCCCACCTCCGCGGCTCACACGTTCGCGAGGGCCCTGGACTCCCTGGTTGTGGGCCGCCTGTCACATCCCACTGCCGCAGTTCATAGGGTAACCATCATCGTCTCTCACAGTGGGAGGTCTGCGGGCATGGGTTTTACCGTCTGGTTGTCTGTCTGCCTGTCTATGTGGGGATTTACCCAGAATCTAGGCCTACGTATTTTTTTTTTAATAGTATCCAAACATCTATGAATCTGTCACCTGGCATGGACCCTGGGACATCTCCGTGACCCCCACCTGCTGGCCTCCCCTCCAAGGGAATCGCTGTCTGTGATCTGGCCCCCGGGGTGTCCTGGGTGGCTCCCCTCCTGAAGGGGGAGGCATTGTAGGGTAAGAGCTTGAAGATTCCGATGAAGGAAATTACTTTAAAAGGTCAAGGGGAGCAAATCTTATATGTGAGGAGAAGGTGCCTGGTGTCAGGAGGGAAGAGGTCCTTGCACAGGCGGGGACACTGTGGGGCTGGGCTTGGAGCCCTGTGAGGTCTGGGGACCACACTGTGGGGTGACTCTCCACATAGTCACGGGCCTTTGGGGTCAGGCTTGTTCTTCTGGCTTTTTAGTCTCCTTTCGCGTGCCCCTGGAGCTTTTGGGTGAGACATTGTGAACCTGGGCACTGTTCACTTGTTTTTCTTTTTGGTGAAAAATACCATAAACCCCCATCAGGCAGCAGAGGAGTGAAAGCCCACTGCGGGGGGCCCCTGGCCTTGCGCCTCCTTGGGCTCCAGTGACTTGGTCCGCAGCTAACTTGCATTTTGGAACTATTACTAAGGCAGCGACGTGAAGGGCAGGGGGAGGGCGTGGGCTGGAGGCAGAGCCCTACTGGGGGAGGCGGGGCCCGTCACTAGAGGGGCGCCGAGCAGCAGGCCCCCGGAAGGGGCACCAGCTCAGAGACGCCGTGGGGAAGCACAAGGCCCAGCCCACAGGAGAGCATACTGCCAAGGTTGATACGTGATGTCGCGTGACGCGCCTTACCCAGATGCCACCTGCGATCCAAGAACATGTCTCTTCTGACCATGAAGAGGCAGAGGTCGCCTTCTGGTGACATCATTCAACACCAGGGAGACCTTACAGTGTCAAAGCGACAGCATTCCCCCCACACACAGCTGCCCACGACCGGGCTTTCAGCAGTGAATGAAGGTCAAACGAGCTCCTCTAGAACAGGCGGCTGATGAGCCCTGTAGCTCGTGTCTGTAAAGCCTAAGCAGGCCGTTTACTGGATGTAT